ACAAAAATAGGCAGTTGGCCACAGTCTACCCACACCCAGGGTTATACCTTTAGAGTGATACTGGCTCCACAGTCAACAAGCTCACAAAATAAGGCCACACTTTGTACGGCTTTGCCCTGTATGCCATAAACTGCTAAGCAATTTAGGATTTATACACTTACACACATGATATTTCCCATGAATTTTTCTTGCTTTTAATTTTTAATAACATTTTAACCATTATATAAAGTAAACTAGAAAAGATAAACCACAATTCAAATCCTTATTTATTCATACATATTTATCACCAGTGATCATTTCATAATAACCATTATATGCTTCTTTTTTTCTTTTTTCCAGCACTGAAGATTGACCTCAGGGTTTCACATGTGCTAAGCACATATCTAATATGCTTACTTTAGTTGACAACAATTCGATATGACTTTTTAATAATACCCACAGCTAGAAATCAGTAATAGTATTACCAGAGCAAGAACTGCAGAGAAGAAGCCCTTTAAGGTCAGAAAGGATGCCAAAAATAAAAGCAGGAGATGGCATGTGGCTGCAAGGGGAAGGAGGCAGACTCAAGGCCTGAAACAAAAACTGCAAAGCTCACTGGGACCGGGGTCCCCAAACATCTCTCATGGCTCAATGTGCTGTACCTCTCTTACATGCAAAGGAATATTTCAAGCTGTAAAGAGAAAAAAGATGGTGAGAGTAGGACTCAGAAGCCCCAAGGAGCCAAGAGTTAATTATGGATGAGACCTCCACTCGGTGGACAGTGGGCATGGGGAAAGTGAGTTGACTAGACACCAAACAGCCAAGTAACTCTAAGAAGCAGCACCGACACAAGCAGTGGTAAGAAGAAACTAACACACAAAAAGCACTCAACACAAAACAGTACCCATCGGCCTGCAGTTACTATTATAAATCCACAGGCACTTTCACATCTCCATGTGGGTTTTCCACTGTTTCCTCTCCTAGACTTGGGTTAAGCCTCACCATCCCTCACATTCTCTTCCATCCCTCCCAATTCTTCCTCTTTCACTTGACTTGCTTCTATCCCATCATGAAGCTCAAGCATCATTTCCTCTGCAAAAGTTCCTTCTGACTGGGCTAGAAGTTGCTTCTCTCTGGTCCTATAACAGCCTGTGGCTATGTCTCCCAGCCTCCCTACTGTCAATCTTACCTACTGTCAATCTTAACATACGGCGCAACACCTAAAAGTCTGGCATCCTCTTGTGCATTTCACCTATGGTCTGTCTTATCATGTGCCTGAGTACATGACACACAAGCCAAAATCAGTTCAGAGCCTGAGTGTGTGTGTGTGTGTGTGTGTGTGTGTGTTATGTAAGGAGTGCTGGATTATAGCACTGAGCCCTAATACCAAGATCAGGAGTTTGATTTCAGGCTATCAGTATCATAAACTTACATATGTTCATGGGCTCAAAGTAGAGAAGCCCTGAAGCAACTTCTATCAGTCAGCTTTTCATGACTGTAGTGAAATGCCTGACACAGGCTACTTATAAAGAAAAGGAAATTTATTTAGCCTAGTGTTCTGGAGATTCAAAGTCCAAGATAAGCTAGGCCCCATTGGTTTGGCCTCTTGTAAAGTCAGCAGATGGCAAGACATCATGGTGGGAGCTTGTATAGGAAGAATCACATCTCAGAATTACACAGAAAATGCACAGGCTGGCTAGGCATGCTCTTTTGACAAGAACCTTTTCACAAGAACTACCAAGATGTCACATGAGAAATACCTCATGTGCCCAATGACCTAAGAACTGCTCTTTAGGCCCCACATTCTACAGGTTCTATCACCTTCCAATAGTGTCATCCTGGGGACCAAGTCTTTTACAACAATATGGACCTTTGGGGGACTCAAACCATGTTCACAAAAGCACAGCACAAGTCTGTCCTGATCTCTGGGAAGACATCCTTAAGTGCACAACAGAGGCTCAGGGCCAACAACAGGGCAGCCTGTCACTCACTACATTATTCCTGTAGTAATAAGAGAATTTCAACTAGAGCCTTATTGAATATCTCAAAAGAAGGTCTCTGCGGTGCATATACTTCTAATTCCTATATAAATGATATCTGAATTATACAATTCAGACTTTCCACAAATTCGGAATGGCCTTCATGATAAGCTGTTTCTACAAAGTGACCACTTCTCCTTAGGTCACTATTCTATAAAATTTTTTATCCCAGTAACATGGCAAGAGAAAATGACCTTCTTGATGTAATAAAAATGTAACTGTTACACTAGACACAAAATACTTCTTTGTTAAACTGTAACAATAAGACTTCAGGAGGTTTACAAGTAAGGGGAGTGAGCCTAAAGGAGGATCCCTGTGAAATGGCAATCATGAAAAGAAGATGGAGCTGGTCATTTGGTTATCTATCCCTCTTCCACAGATGAACTGAGCTAGAGGTGTTTCTTCAACACTTACAAGACATCAATGCTAAGCTTCCAGGAGGTCATTCACCATTAAGACAGGAAGTTATCCAGTGCATAACAGGGTCTTATATCTTCCAGACATAATGTGTGAAGTGAGCTTTAAGTATAAAAGGCACTCACACACAAGGCATTTTGTCTTGTACTCAAACTACAGTCATGTATAGAACCCAAGACTAGTGGGGAGGCAACAAGTACAGAGCTAATGAGCAACTGCTGAGTGCTTAGACTGTGCCAGATTCAACAACTGTGAAGTCAGTACTATGACTGCTACTCTCATTGTATAGGCAAGGAAGTATATTTTGAGCCACTAAAGTCAGCAGACACAAAAGCGGCAAAACTAGGATTTGAGCCCTGGTTTCTGGATGCCAGTTCCTGAGCAGATCTTTATGCAACTGTGCTTCCCAAAGCACGAATGAACGAGAAGCGTATTTTGGAGGTGGAAAGAGTGCTATGACTTTTCACATCATAAACATCAGATGAAGCAAGGGAGAGCTGACAGGAGAATTCTGTCACAGTCATCTGTCCCTTCCCTCCTCCGACTCCAAGAAAAGCTTTTGAACATTGCTGGAAAATAAGGTCATGGGGCAGACAACAAAATATAATAATCAGACAGAATGGTAAACATCAAAAAGTCCCTGATTTAGAACCACAATGATTAAGCCCATGCTAACACCGAGTCTCAGGTCCCTTGTTATAAAATTGTCATAAGATATACCTCTTTTGTTGTTCTAAGAACAGTGAGAACAGATAAGGATATGTGGGTAGCACATGTGCTTGGCAGAGAACAGGTATTATTTTTTCTTCTTCTTTATCTTCAATTCCCATTTGGAAATATAAGCATACAACACAGGGTCCCCTGGTTACACAGGGGACATCTTCCCTGGAAACCCCCCCCCCACCCACAGAGAAATACCATTCAAGGTGTGTCTCTCTGTTGTTGGCCTGAAAGTGTGTGTTCTGCCCTCTATTGACAGTGCATAAAACCAGATGAGACAAAATTTTCATGCTTTCAACATAACAGCAACTGCACCATGAGGTTTAAGTATGTAAATGTACAGAAGGAAAAAAGACCACAGAAATAACTATTGCAGATTTCAAAGCAAGAATTGAAATACACAAGTATCTAGACCAGCAACTACAGAGAATAAATGTGACTCTCTAGACCTTCTCCATTCCTCTCCCATACAACACAAACTGGTAGTCAGAAAAGTCATATGAAACATTCAGACTTTTTTTCCCCATGAAATACATTTTCAGAGGGCTAAAAAAAAAGAGATATTGTGGGACAAGTAAATCTTTTAAATCCTCGGTCAACAGCCTTTGATGAAACTATGGCTTGACACCAGACTTGTATGTTTCACAAATAAAATGTTCTGAGAAAAGCTTAGGTGTGTTCATTTTCAGACCAAAAGTGAGGGTGGGGGTGATCAGCTGACTTAAAAGTAAAATACCTTTAGCAAAAAGGTATATATTTTGGCATTAAGAATGTGGCAGCTTCCCAAGCTTGGAGGTCTGAAACTTTAGGTGTTCCCCCTCGCCTCATTTTCTTACACACTGTGGCTCTCCATCACAACACATTATGGTCCTCTCATTTCAACAAACCATGAGGTCTAAAAAAGTGAGAAGCATATGGCCCTAAAACATGTTCCGGAAAGCTGCTAATCAACATGCTTATGGCTTGTCAATACTAACAAGACAAATCACAAACTTGCTTCCTAAACAAGAAAACGTAGGCTTTTGGTCCCCAGTAAAAGGAAGGCTTCTCCCACACCCACTGAAAGCTACCAGGCTTCAGTTCTTTCATTTATATTTTTTAAAAAAATTAACTGAATTCACGTGTTTCCCCTTCTATTCTTATGCGTTTTTAAAAATCCCTCCATTTTCTTCTTCCTTCCTTTACATTAGAGGACTTCTTCATTAACACGCTCGCTTGAAAGGCATTAGAAACTCATTTCAGGGACTTAGTTTTTACAAGAGCGGCAGAGAAAGGAGCGGGCAGAGTTGGGTTAAAATTGTTAAATTCCTGCACCGCATGACAACTATGCATGCGTCCTCAAACAATGAAAGTGTCTGGAATGCACGGGGATGCAAAGCGATGCCAAGCGCAACAAACAGGCACTGTACTTGGTGTCACAAAGGCTGCCCCGCCAGCACGCGAGCCAGAGTCACCCCGCAGCTCCCGGCTGGCAGCTGCCTCAAAAGCATCGGGTCCTAAATCCAGCCCACTCGGGACACGACAACCGCTGAGACAGGAGCAAACACTGGACACACCTCGGAGGGCAAGGCGGGGAGAAAGTGAAGGGAGCCTGCAGGAGAGCGGGGAGACGCGCGGCAGGTCCCGGGGAGGACAACGGAGCGGGGGTGGGGTGAAAAGGGAGGATGTGGCAAAGGCGCAGAAGCGCCAACTGCAGATCAGGCCCCGGGAGGCGACGCGGGGACCGGGAATTAGCGGCAGAGGGGAAGAAGGGGGGGGAGTCTGGGGACCAGCCGCAGGTCCCAGCGCATAAGCCCGCCACGAGGTCGCGCGGCCGGTACAAGGGAGCAGGGGCTCTGCGGTCACCTGTATTGTTTGAAAAGCTGGTCCGACTCCCTAAAGCCGTTGTTGAGCAGCATGTTGATGCCGGCCAGGGCCAGCTCCGCGTCCTGCAGGGGCGCCGCCGCGGCGTCCGAGTCTCTGTCGTCCCGCCGCCGCGGCCGCTGCTGCTCCGAGCCAGCCATGGGCGCGCGAGGCCCGGCCCTGGGCCGAGGCGAGGTCCGGAGGCAGCTGCTGCGGGCCCACGCGCGCCCGGAGCCCGGCTCTACCTGCCCGGAGCAGAGCCGAGCGGGCGGCGGGGGAGGGGACAGGAGGGGAGGGACGCGGAGCGAGGGAGGAGCCGCGGCCGGGCTGCGGCGCGCGGGGAACGTGGGCGCCTCGCCGCCGCCGCGGGGTATTACTCAGCAGCCACCCGCCCGCTCTTCTCGCTCCCTCCGAAACGGGCGGCCCGCACGGGTACCGGAGCCGAATCCGTTTCCGGGTGTCTCAAACCCCGAGGAGCCGGTCCCCGAGAGGCTGTCGCCTCCGCTTCCTGCAGCCCCCGCGCCCACGCCCAGAACCAGCACGCCCAGGCTGCTCCCACCCACTCAAGGCTGGGAGGCTGGGACCTTCGACCCTCCAGAGAAACCACCGGACCCGAGAGTCAGGGGAGACCCTGGGGCTCGGGAAGGACCAGCGGGTTGGAGAAGGGACGGGAACTCTGGGCCGCAGCGAGTAGGGCGCGGTTGGAGACCAGGTGGCCTTGGCTTTGGCTGAGTGCCTAAAACCTGGGGTAGCCAGTACCTGCGACCCCCAACTTCACCCCGGGGCCGCTGGGATCAAAGCAGCCAATACCGAGAAAGTGGGCGGTGGGGGCGGGGCCTCTGGACACCTGGGAGCCCAGCGCCGGAGACTGAGGGCAGAGCTCTCAGATCAGGGTACCACCCACTGAGACCCCCACCAGCATTAGAGCAGTGGAGAAACAGAGGTCCCTATACCACCACAGCTAAATATTTAAAAGTTATGGATTAAGTTGTTAAGGTGTGTTCTGTTCTCACCCTGATTATTATACTTTCCATACCAGTGGAACAGAAAAGCTGAGGTTTTTATGTGACCAAAAGTCAGCAAAATGTCGGTGACAATTTAATCATCGTTATATTGGTCTCACTGTGCGATAGTTTGGTAATGTCTGGATCCTAATATAGGGACAATTCATATACCATTCTTATGTTTATTCATATTTTTCTATAAGTTTATGTTTCTCTCCTTTAGCAAGATCACTAAATATACCATTACTTTATAAAGATTTCATTCTTAATTCCAAATCAGACCACCTTTCCTGAATCATTGTAGTTCTTAGAGTGTAGTTCACTAAGTTCAATTTGGAGAAACTTCGCATTAAGCAGAAACTTTGCTTAAGCATTTACAAAGGAATTGCTTTTAAAAATTAAGGCAATACTCAGGTTTAAAAATAGCCCATACATTTTAAATATCATTCCTATAGTATAATGAGATCAATAAGATAAATGATCACAGAAATGTTGCAACATAACTTAAATTCATTATACACATTGTTTTCACTTAGAGTATTTCTAACATTCATCTATACAAATGCAAGAGCAATATGTATTGCTACCATTCCTTCACTGTTTTGTTGTTGTTGTTTGTTGTTTGTTTTTGGTTTTGTTGTTGTTTTGTTGAGACAGAGTCTCACTATGATGCCTAGGATGGCTTTGGACTCAAGCAATCCTCCTGCCTCAGCTGCCAGAGTGGCTGGGACCAGAGTGGCCCACACCAGTTCCTCAAGCCCACTGTCCTATGCAACTGTTGCAAAACCATGCTAATTCTTGAGTACATCTGGAACCACAAATTGGAACACCAAAAGAAGCAAGAAAATGAATGCTTCTCATGGTTGAGAAATAATACTTTGCATTACAGAACTCATTTTGTTTATGCTGAGAAGAGGGATTTCATAAATTGACCCTTTTTATGTTTTTACATAAAAATGTTAATATGTCTACATAAAATTGTTTTCATCTTAAATATTAATGATGTCATAGTCCTTCATGGCATTCAGAAACTGTAACTTTTTGTTTTTAGGACATTGTGTAAAGAAGAGAAGTGTTTTCTTAGGACCTAAATGGTATTCATGGTAAGAATTGCTGTGGAGAGTGATATATCCCACCTAGCCACGACTGAGTACCAGAGTGACAAAGGTACTCAGGTGTCCTTTAATAAATTTATGTGTGTGTTGATTAGCAGGGCCTTCTAAAACAGGTCTTAGGGACTATCCTTCTTACTGAAGCCCACATGAGGCCCCTGGCCATACATTGCCAATAACTATGGTTGCTGCCAGTCTGACCAGGTGCTTACCATTTACAGGCTTCCTAAACTTTGATTCTGGAACCATCTCCAGCCCTCAATCCCCAAAATAATCTAGTCAACAAGGGAGGGAAGCCGAGAGCACAATACCAAATTTAGGAGATGTCTTGCCTTCCCCCAAGTGGGGAAGGTGGTCAAGCACAGTCATTTATGTCCCCATTACTGGGGAAAGAGGCAGGGGAAAGAACTTGAAGGAATTGGTGACACCATGAGCATTGTTAACAAGTTGTATTTGGAGGCCTGTAGCTGAGAATGGGGGAAGCAAAGTCAAAACAAATTTTGTGGGATTAGCTCTGCCTCGAGGACCCAGCACAGTGGGTTATGCAGACTTAGGGATATTTAACTGTCAAATCCCTGGGGCAAGGTCCAGCACAGCAGCCCAGCTCCCCATCACAGGTAGGGGAGGGGTGATGTGGATATAGGGATAACTAGTGTGAAATATAGACCAGGTTTGTGTAAAGTTAGATTTAGTCAGGGACAAAACAATTAGATTCATTTCGTCATCATGAATGGATGTTTGTAAATATTTGCTCCATGCTAAGGGATACAAAGAACATTCACAATGGGCCCCCAAATCCTAAGGAAGAGAATACATGGACCAGTGATAATTTTGTGGCAGCTGTACTTGGTATGGACAAAGTCCACCTAGCAGGTGGGGAATTAAGACTGTTTTCTTCAATAGATAATTGGATATTGAAGAGGTTGTGGTGTGTACAACATATAAAAGGAAGAAAAATCTAGATTACTAACACTGTAGGCCATCATACATTTGACAATGTGAGAGTCTCAGCACCTTCCTGCAAAGCTAACACAGTCTTCAGTGCACTTGGCTTCAGAAAAATGGGATTTACCCAAGTGTTTGCTTTAGAAATTGGAGAGAAAGAGGCAAAAAGGAGAGAAGGAGAGGAAGGAGGAAAAGCGAGCAAATGGAGGAAAGAACCCATTTCCTTTCTGCAAACCCCTTGTGGGTATTGCCACTATTTCATGGTTCTGTGTCTGATTTCATTATGAAAATGAAACTGCAAGTCCAAATGATCAGGAAATGGGTTTTAGACCTGTATGTTATCATTTATATGGTAAATATTTCAAAAGTTGTTTTGGTTGCAAGTAACAGAATAATCTGACTCAAACTGTCCTAGAAAAGCAATTTTTTTGATCACGTATAGGGGGATTCAAAATGAGGTTATATCCAAGGTTCCAACCCAATGACTAATACCAAGTTTTTCCCCTCCATCTCTTACCTCTGTCCTCTGGATGCTTGACAGGTCTCTTCTCAGATAGGCCCTCCTCTTTGGGTCCCAAAAGTAGCTTCTAGAAGTTCCTGGGACTACCTGCATGCCAGTCACATGACAGGGAGGCATCAGTTCTCTAATAGCTTAATCATTATTCCCTAGTTGAATCTCACTGGCTTTGATTGACAGCCTTTGGTAAGGTATCCATCCTTAAACAGTTGCCATGACTAGGAGGGGTGGATCATGCTGAATGACTTAAGCCAGAGCCACCAGGACTTGAGGTGGTAAAACCAACTTCACTCAAATTACCTGGCTGGGAAATACCAAGTCTCTTAGGAAGAGGCAGGTAGATAATGGATGTCAGAAAGATAACCAGTAAACATCCTCTACCCTTGTCTCCCTAAGCCTGTTTTGAGTTTTGAGAATCATATTGTAAAAGCATTTAGAGAATAAAGTTCCTTAAAAAAAATCTAACTCTCCGTTCATGTTCTTGATTATTTCCTTTGCTGTAAAGAAGCTTTTTAATTTGATAAAATCCCATTTATTGATTCTTGACTTTACTTCTTGTGCTTTAGGAGTCTTGTTGCGGAATTCGGTTCCTAAGTCAACATGATGGAGATTTAGGCTACATTTTTTTCTAGTAGGTACAGGGTCTCCAGTCTAATGAGTAGGTCCTTGATCTATTTTAAGTTGAGTTTTGAGCAGTCTAATGAGTAGGTCCTTGATCTATTTTAAGTTGAGTTTTGAGAGATAGGGGTCTAATTTTCATTTTATTACATATGGATTTCCAGTTTTCTCAGCACCATTTGTTGAAGAGGCTATCTTTTCTCCAATGTGTTTATGGAGCCTTTGTCTAGTATGAGATAACTGTATTTATGTGGGTTTGTCTCTGTGTCTTCTACTCTGTACCATTGGTCTTCATGTCTGTTTTGGTGTCAATACCATGCATTTTTGTTACTATGGCTTTGTAGTATACTTTAAGTTCTGGTATCGTGATGCCTCCCTGCTTGACTTTTCTTGCTGAGGATTGCTTTGGCTATTCTGGGCCTCCTATTTTTCTAAGTGAATTGTATGACTGCTTTTTCTATCTCTATGAAGAATGTCATCAGAACCTTAATAGGAATTACATTGAATCTGTATAGTGCTTTTAGTAGTATGGCCATTTTGACAATATCAATTCTACCTATCCATGAACATGGGAGATCTTTCCATCTTCTAAGGTCTCTTTCAATTTCTTTCTTTAGTGTTCTGTACTTTTCCTTGTAGAGGTCTTTCACCTCTTTTGTTAGCTTGAGTCCCAACTATTTTATTTTCTTTGAGGCTATTGTGAATGTGGGATCGTTTTCCTAATTTCTTTTTTAGTTGATTGATCACTGATGTATAGGAACACAACTGATTTATGGGTGTTTGATTTTATATCCCGCTACTTTGCTGAATTCATTTATGAGCTCAAGAGTTTTTCTGATGGAGCATTAATCTTCAGGATTTATAAAAAATTCAAAAACTTAACATGAAAAATAATAATAATAATTCAATCAATAAATGGGCAAAGGAACTAAACAGACACTGCACAAAAAAAGAAATATGAATGGCCAATAAATATATGAAAAAATGTTCAAAATCAATAGCAATTGGAGAAATGGTGGGTCCACAGGAGTCCATCTG